GGCTACGTGAAATAGATAAGCTATTTGTTAGTAGCTAGTGACTACTCTCTCTCTTACTTTTTTCATGTCCACGTCATAATAGTTAGCCAAATAGCTAACCATTGGAGAAGCCCTGAGAGGTGACATCACATGGAGGAAGAAGATAATGCGCCGAGGGATGATTTTCAGTCTCGTGTGCTGTAATTTTTTTCCTTGTTTACCGCTTTTACTGTCTTTTGATCTTCTTTATTTGGAGCAAGTATTATGATATATATGTTTTTTTTTTTTGTTACAATAAAGGGAGGCTGTAACCGGCCGTAACCTAACGGATGCTAAAACAAAACGTGATGGAGGTAAGCCACCCCAATAATATCATGTTTAAGTCATCTGTCTATGGACGGTGGTGGGACGGGAAGATGGTGCACCCTTAAGGGTTCGGACGCCGCTAAAGAAGCCAAATGATCCGCAGTGAAATACGCTTCTTGAAACACATGATCTAATTCCACCGACCATTCACGATCCCGTAACTCTCGTATGGCCCGAACAAGGCTATCATGGATCCCACCCACGTCCTCTCGCCCATAACCATAGTAATCACACTACTATTGTCAACTTCCGCCACGACCTTTCGGGCGCCCAAGGCCCACGTGAGAGATACCCCATGAAAGAGACCCCCAAGTTCAGCTCCGGTAATGGAGAAAATACCGGCATTCATCATAAATCCTCCGAGCCAGCGGCCCTGGGAATCACGAACCAACCCTCCCGCACATCCACAACCCGTGTGGGATGAAAACGCCGCATCTGTATTAACCTTAACCCAGTCTGACGGCGGCAATGACCATGAACCAAGCAAGTTTCGTACTGCCGGGCTAGCGAGCCAATTTTCTTAAAATCGGCGGCCGCCGCTAGGCACCCCTCCACTCGTCGTCTGATATCACTTACCTTAAGCATCCACACGCCACGAAATTTCAGAAAAATAGTCGCATTCCACCAAGACCAAAACCCCCAACACGCAATAGAGAAGGTCAACGGCCACTCAGTGTCCGAAATATCCGCTGCTTGGTTCAAGTTGAACCACAACCAGTCAGCGAGATCTAATGCCAAGAAACGTGTGCGGGAAGGAGCTGACACCAAATGAGTTCAAACGAGGCGAGCCGTCGCGCAATCACGAAGGGCATGGAAAGTGGACTCCGCCGCACCACACATTGCACAGTCCGCGGAGTCGACCAAATTCCTTCGGCGGCGTTCCACATTGGTGAGCAAACGGTCACGAGCAGTAAGCTAGAGGAAATGCCGAACTCGTTGGGCTACCAGTGCCCGCCACACAAGCTTCCACAAAGGGTGTACCGCAAGAGGTTCGTGACCGGCTAAAAGATTGTAGGCAGACTTGGTCGAGAAGTTCTCATTACTAGTTAGCCTCAGACCGGCGATCCCAGTCGGCGCGAGCTTGTGGCGGCATGGCCGCTGCTATGCGCATCATAATCAAAGTCGGAAGCAGGTCTGCAAAGGTGCTCCACTTCTAGTCGTCATCCACGTCCACAAACTCCGCTACCGGCTTCGACAACATATCTGAAGGAACAATGCCCACGGTGGCCTTGATCAGCAATTGTTGGGTGTCAAGCCAGAATCGACATGTCAAACAATTGCCCAATGCCCAACGGTAGCCGCTCGCCATTTGCGGCCATATTCTAGCCACCGCCCGCAAGAATACCGAACCTGTCGGGAATTTAAAATCACTAGGCATTGTTAAAGGGTCGAGCTTGTACTTAGCACAAAACACCCGCACACACAAGGAGTGAGGTTTGGATAAAAAAAGCTCATCCTAACTTCATCAGAAGAGCATCATTCATCAGTCGAGAATCTTTCAGTCTTAGCCCGCTACACTCGCGGGCCTTGCAAACATCCCTCCACGGAACCAGGTTCAAACCACGTCGGGTAGCCGACCTACCCCACACAACGATCAACAAAGTTTGTCCACCTCTTGGCACACGGCCACCGGTAAGCTAGCCGTTTTCATTGAATAGTACGCCAGGGAGCTCAACACCGATTGAGCAAGAGTGAGACGACATGTCGCCGATAATGACGCGGCTTGTCAACTAGCCAACCGTCCCTTCGCCTTTTTACCATTCTCGACCGACTGTCAGATTTGTTGCGCGAGCCTTTCCATACATATGACAAACAAGAAAGATAAGATCCCCTTGGCGTACTCCTCTGGACGGTAGAAATTCATCACAAACCTCGTCATTCCATAAAAGACGTATAAACGCCGATGATACAAAGCCATGAAAGCTCTCACCATCCCTTGCGGGAACCCCATCGGAACAAGCGTTTCATGTATGAAATCTCATCTCAAGAAATCAAATGCCTTCTCCAAATCAACTTTGACCACCATGTGCCCTTTACCACCTTTATATTTGTGCATAGCATGAATGAGTTCTTGCGCCACGATTATATTCTGTGATGAGGCAACCCGGGACAAAAGTGGCCTGAGTCGGGTGAATTAGGTCTGGAGGCAGGGCCTTCGCACGGTTGACAATCACCTTAGTGAAAATCTTATAAACCACATTGAGGAGGTTGATCGGCCGAAATTGCTTGATCGTTGTTGCCTTCACCACCTTCGAGATAAGCATCATTAGAGTCTGATTAAGCGAGAGGGGATCTTCTCCCCGTCCCAAATCCGACGAAGTGAACAACCCACCGATGTTCTAACCGCGCCCCAATGTTGTTGAAAGAAAATGGCGGGTAGCCCGTCAATCCTCGGTGCTTTAAGCGGACCCATGCCTTTTAATGCGTCGAAAATCTCGGTGTTTTCTATGTTCCGCCCCAAGGCAGCCAGACATACAGCTGCCAAAGGTGGGAAGAGGCCAGCACTCGCGACCGCAAGTGCCGGTGCTGGTTTTGTCGTGTAAATCTTCTTAAAATACTTTGTGCCCATCCGCCGTAAAAGGTGTTGCTCATGAACATGTGCTCCACTGTCATCCAGTAAGGATGTGATTTTATTGCGGGCTCGTCTAACTTTAATCTGGCGATGATAGAACGTCATGTTCTTGTCACCAAACAAGGTCCAGTCGCGTTGGGACTTTTGTGGTAAAAGAGCTCTTCGTGCAAAATAACCTCATCTAATTCTTGCCGCAGCTTCCTCTCCAGCATGACTAGGCTCTTCTTAAAGTAGAAACAATAGGATTCTGAATCCTCCCGATGCGGGCCATAAGTCATTTCTTACGATGGAAAATATTCCCAAATGTAGTGGAATTCTATTCATGTACCTCATCTCCAAATCTGGCCGCCGCGTCTAAATAATCAACAGCCTCTTTCCCACACCTTACCCACAACATGCGGGAAGTCTTAGTGTAACAATCAAGCGGCTAAAAAGCGCCATGGCTTTACCCCGCCGCCGTGAGAATAATTGTAGTTCTTCGACTTTAGCAATGGAGGAGAGTGGTCCAAATGGATGCGTGGTAGTTAAAGGGACCGACCCTTAGAAAATTGGTCAAGCCACTCTAGGTTAACGATAAAACAGTCGAGCTTTTCGCTTACTGACCCTCTGCACCAAATGAAATAGCTATTCTCAGCATTTAGTTCGTATAGGCTATGGGTAAAAATCCAACTCTGGAAGTCAGAGCTGGTATTACAACTTAAGGGTGAACCTCCCAACTTTGAACATGTTCGAACTAAGTATGTTTGATTATGATTTCGAACTATGTTAGCTTCTGCATTTTCAGATTTGTATGGAGATTATGAGGCTTTAGGCTATGCATGTTTAATTCCAGTATTTTCATGGCGCCTTATACTGGAATGAATTTTACTTGGGTGCATGCACAATTTGTCTAAATGTCTTAAAAGGGATAAAGCTAGAAAGTTTAGTACCATCATGCAAGAAAGATAAAGTGTTTTAAAAAATTAAGTGAGAGTTTTTCGAAAATTAAATAAGTGTTTTCAATTGATAAAGCACGAAAAAATTTAATCTAATTTTAGTAATAGTTTGCGAGGTGTTACATCTTATGTCTGGATGTGAGATTTGAAGTAGGATTTCGTACAAGTTTTTTCTTTAGAAATCTCACCAAATCCTTAGGCAGTGTATTCACTTGGGATTTCTAAGTACTTTTTAAGACTTTAGAAATTCTAGTGTATTCATTTTAGTTTTGTTAAGACTTTTCAAAGTTTTGGAGTATACAATTGAGATTTTAGAAAGTCTTGATCATGAGGTATTTAAACTTATTTGACACTAGAATTTGTTACGACTTTTTAGATTTGGTGGAATTTATAAACCAAAAACCTTATATGAAATCTCATTTCAAATCCCACCTCCATACTAACTTAATATTTCATAAAATTCATCAAAAATCTAAAATCTTAAAAAGTATTAAATCTTACAAAGTCTTAAAATGTCCCTTAAAATCTCAATTGAATACACCCTCTTAATAAGTACATCATGATACTTTTTAAAATCCCAAATGAATACTGTTAATATCCGAGTTGAACCACGAGGGGCACATGGAAAGAGAACAATAAACCAGGTGACGATGACCTTAAAAAACTGGACTGGCATTCGGGTTATCCCGAGTGGCCGAACTGACCGAGGAACAAAGTTGACGATGATAGTGCGAAGTATAATCTCTGAAAACGGCACCTTGAGTGACCAATGGACGACGTCAATCTATGCGAACGTCGGGCCGAAAAGTATAACCTTGAAGATCAGAAGATGAACTCGACGACGAGAGGCCGACCTAAAGATTCGATAAGGCGGGTACCAATACGTATACGGGTCTCGAAAACAATAAAATATTGCCACTAGTCAAGTGATGACTGCTGATGGGACATGACATCCTAGTCAGCCACCCTAGAGTATCTAGATCGGTAGGGTGGCCTGTCAGCATTAAATGCCCCACATGTGTGCATTTAATGTCTGACAGACAATTATTGGAAAAACCTCATATCTAATTTAATGTATGTCAGAGCGGTGCCGACCTGTCACTTTGAGGCACTGTGCGATGAGACAAAATAAACAATACATGAACAGTGTCAGATTAGGGCTACTCACTACAAGAATAATCATTTTTAGTGACGATAATTATTGTCGCTATGTCGTCAGAAAAAATGTCGTCGCTAATAATGTCCTAATATTGTCGCTATATGTTCGAATGTCGTCACAATAATACCTCTTATTGTGATGGAATTTTTTGTGACGACATAGCGACAAAAATTATCATCACTAAAAATGATTATTCTTGTAGTGAATATAAATAGAATCTCACCCTCATTTATTAAGGATTGTTGATTCTTCCACCAACTAATTATCTTTCTATATTTACTCCCAAATATTGTAATAAACTCTCGTAATTGCTCCGACTGTATCAAAGAGTCAACCTCATTCTTAGAGGTCGACAATAGCGATTAAATAAACAAAACTCATTTACCTCGTGAATCCGTATTTCTTTACTCATTTTATCACTTCCAAATATTTTATTAACCATTGACCGAGTCCGATCGTCAACAAATACACTAACACTTTTAAAAGTCTTAAAAATAGATTTTGAATGACGTCTGCTCCCGCCGCAAACCCTAGCGCTGCCCTGCTCACCGGCACGGCAATTTTCGACCCCGGAGTGGGTGCATCCACCAACCCGAGCGCCGCCCTCCTCTCCAGTACGGCTACACTCCATGATTTAGAGTTTCCGGTATTGAATCACGCTACGCTGCCGGCATCTAAGCGGTCTAAAGTTCGCAAGAGATCGGTTGATTTCGAGGACCCTCATGCCCCGCCGGTCCAGACGCCACCACCTGCTAAGAATCCAACTCCGACGGCCGCAGAACCACCACCGAAACGCTGGACCTTCCGTGAACAAGCAAAGACATCATGTGGACTTGACTGCTGAGGATGATAATGTGGAGAATGATGATGAAGACGAATTTTCGGTGGATCTCTCCAAACAGGTGCCGACAATCAACATTGCCCCGCAGTTCTTTGAGCATATTTCTT